TTATAAGGAATGCATATAATTTTAAGAAAAATATTTATTAATCTTTTTTATTCTTTAGGTAGAGATATTAACACTCAAGTTTCTAAAAATAGCTCAGAAAGAAATTTTACGAAGAAACTTAATGGAAACAACGACGAAGATACTTATACGAACGGTATGTTTTACATATACTCATAGATTTTTTAACAATAACATATTTAAGAGACAAATAAATTTATTTTATGGCTTTTTGTAATAAATATTTGTATTTTTTACAATAACTAATAAACTAATATATATTGTTTCAGAATTTAAGAAAATAACCTTTCAAAAATTAAATAAAGTTATATATAAACTTAATACTATTGAAAACAAAATTGATATACTCGACAACAAAATGCAACCACTCAATTCTTTCGATGAAGAAATTGATGTCCAATTGCCTATAACTACGCTTCAAGAGTTAACAGACTTTGAAAAAAAATTGCAGGAAATAGAATTCAAAAACGCAGTAGTACGATATCACAGACATATACACACATACACACATTATATATATATATATACATATACATATATATACGTATTAAAAGAAATAAGAAAAATTAAAGAAAATAATACTAAAAAACGTTATTAAAGTTTCAAATATTAAAAGTATTCTATACTTAATATTTGAAACTTTAATAACGTTTTTAATATTATTTTCCTTAATTTTTCTCATTTCTTTTAATGTGTTTTTTTTAACCTTATGTATATTTATGTTTGTAATGCAGATTTATATGTATATTCATGTAAAAATTGATTTATAATTTATTTTAATTATTTTGTATTAATTAATATATGAAATCTATATATTAAACTAATATTTAAATTTGTATATTTTTTTAGCTTAATATATTTCAACACGTAGGTGGACATAATGCGCATATTATGATACGTAACATATTACGTAAAACTGTAACAGATACCTTGGCACAAAATTTTAGCTGGGCAGGAAAGAAAACAAAAGAAAGCTTCCAAAATTTACGTATTGCACAAATAATTATACGTAAGTGTACTGTATTTTTAATATAATTTTAAGTTGAATTTTTTTAATATAATAAAAAATTTGTCTAAACATGCATATTTATATTACAATGTTTTCAATAACTTTTTATGTCTCAAACACACAGAAGCTGTTCATAAAACCTTTGCAAATGTGACGGATATCCCCCGTTGAGAGGGTGTACTGATCAATTATAAATTAGGTCGTTACATAACATGTTCTCGTATACAATATAGCGGATAACTTAAGTGTATAAATGGATATAGATATCGCTTATTGGTTATCCGGTTGGGAGCGGACATAACGATTTAACCGATCTTTTGATTTCGCCGGCCGCTGTTCGAATGGTAGCCACGCGTACGACTCCATCGTTGCCTGGATGTAGCATCGTAATTCGGCCTAATGCCCATTGGGTGCACGGCAGAGCCTTGTCTTTGATGAGAACTGCATCTCCTTGGTTGAGGTTTGGCTCGTCCTTGTTCCATTTATGGCGTATTTGAAGCTCGTTTAAATATTCGAGACTCCAACGCGCCCAAAAGTCCTGGCGCACCTTAGAGATGTGTTGCCAGGTGGAG